CTGGTGCAGGTCGGAGGCAATACATCCCCTGTGGGGCTGTTCCGCGGGGGCACCCACCTAGTCGCATCAGCTGCCCTAACTCCCATGGGCTTGTAAACTGGGGATGTACTCCATACACACATACACACACACACTCTCCCATCTCCCTTCTCCCCTCCCCCCTATTTCCCCCCTCCCCCTCCGGGGCCTGCGCCGCCCGCCCAAATCCCAGTCCCGAGGATAACCCCACCCCCCGGCTTCACACCCTCCCCTCTTTCCTTCCCCCCCGTTTACATTCCTTACCCCGGGGGGTGGTGGCACTTTCCCAACACCCCCATCGACAGACCCCGTCACCGGCATCAGCAGTTTGGAGGTAGTTGTACTGCACCCCAACCCGCCTGAGGCTGCCGTACTTGCCCTGGGCGCCATGGGCCCCACTCGCGTGGTCCGGGGCTCCCCCGCGGACCCCCGGGCGCTGCAGCAGGCGGGGGCGGCGCAGGCTAGGTGAGGTGGGAGCCCTGACAGGGGCTTGGGGGCCCTATGGCCATGGTGAGGTGCGGCAGGGTGGGGGTGGGGTGGGGGTGCTTTCTTGGAGGGGAGCTGACATCTGTACGGACAAAACACAGCAGTCTCTTCCCGCGTGCGCTGGACGACCCCCCTCCTCCTTCCCCCCTTCCCCCCTTTCTGGCACATCAGTCTTTCTTGGTATCTGCTTCACTCGCTCGTGGTTCGTCTTCCCCCACTGTGCGGAGGGGTACCGTCCTCCTCCCCACAGCTCGGCCTCCCCTCGCACTCCCCCACCCCCCAGTACTGGGGGATGAACGCAGTCCGGAAGCCGCCAGTTACGCTGACTGAGGGCAAAGACACCGTAGTGGGGGAGTGTTCGTGTGAAGGACACTAACTAGGGCTCGAGGGGCCGGGGGGTAGGGATCTGGCTGCTTCAAACGGCTGTTCGCCCACCTCCAATCCATACCCCTCTTCCCTAGGAACACACTAGGAGCACTTTGCGACTTTTTGACCCGTCCACGGCCCCCCCCCCCCCCACACACACACACACCAGCTCCATGACCCGCCAAGAGTTTATTGACTTCGGATTTCCTCCCCGGCCCCCGCCCTCTCTCCGTGTCGGCGCTGTCGCCACCCACCTCTACGGCTCCTAATCCTGTGCGGAGTATCCGTCTATACCTCTGGTGTCTGTTTCAATCGTCCGTGGCGCTTCATGTTACCCCTCCCTCCCCCCTCCTCGTTTGTGGTTCGTCCTTCCCCCCTCCTTCCCCCCTCCTCCTCCTCCTGCATCATCGTCCTCACACGGGGGGAGTTCCCCCCCCCCCACACCCCTCCCAACTCGCCACCCGCACGCCTCAGGTGTTTGGTGTACCTGGGGCCCAGCGAGCGACCCGCAGGTCACCGGAGCTCCGCCACTCCCTCCTCCTCCGCGGACTACTCCCCCTATTCACCATCAGCATCATCCGACACCGCCACCACGTCCTCCTCCGCAGATTACGGCTCCACCAGCCGTGCAGGGGTGCAGGTGAGGGAGTGCGTGCGTGTGTATGCGCGTATGTATGTAACCGGGGGTCCGACTGCCCTTCCTTGATGGCGCCCTTGTGGCGCATTTCCATCCCCACATCCCTCCCCCATCCTCTGCCTCCGCTGCCTCTCGGGCGTACGACAACCAGGCGGACGCTGAGGCGCTCCTGACCTGCTACGGCGTCGGGGAGGAGTCCGTTCCCCTGGTTTCGGAGGAGAGTGCGGACGAGTGCGTGCTGACGGCGGCTGACTGGGGCGCGGGACTGACGCCGCTGCATTCGGCGACGGCGGCGCCCGCAGGAGCACCTGCAGCCGGCGACAGTCATGCCGACAACGCCGGCGGCGGTGGCGGCAGGCCGTACATGTCCAGTGCCGTACGAGGTCACAGTGTGGTGGAGCTGTCGTTTACATCTTCCGTACGATTCCTGCAGCCCGGGCTGCTGCTGCAGGTACGTTGTCGCCGAGTTTTGGTTGGTTGGTTCGGCTCTTCCATGCAGCCGTCTCTCTTGCAGCTCTTACAGTCCTCGCCAGTCGTAGACCTTGGCGCATGGGCCGCTGGACGAAATGCCGCACCTCGGACTCCTTCCTGGGAGGCATCCCGGAAATTAACTTATTTATATATAATCATTATTAAAACACATTTTATATCAATACCATCTAGAGATTATAGTTACTGTTACAGCGAATGAATTAGTTCATCAACTGGAGTGGGGGAACGCGGCTGTTCCTTTCCCGACATCTGGCTCCCTGACCAGTCGGGAAACATAACACGGGACGGGGACGGGGCCAGCCCGGGGGGCCGGGGGGATCATTTACACAGGCGCCGGCCGTTGGAACAACAACGGGTGATGGCGATGACTAGAATATTGATGATTGACACAATATGACGAAACAGAGTTGGTGCCGATAATGGTATCTGGATGGGGGGGGAGGCCCTCTGGTATAACCTTGTACTTCGTAACCCCAATAGGGTCATGTACGATGTTTCCGTACTAGCACCCAGGAAGTAGCCTTTTTTTATTCACACCGAACCGGTGCTGCTGGCCATATGCCATGTAACAAGAGCATGTATCACGTCTTTTTCAGGAGGACGTGTCCCATACGTCGTACATAACATTGACATGACGCATCGTACCTTGCCGTACCCGCATGTTCGTGATGTGCTCCTGCTCCCTGGCTCCTCGGGGGCCCCTCCCTGACCCTACTCCGGGTGCCGTACACAGGGTACGAGCGTATGGGACGAGTCGTGCAGTGTGGGAGGTACGGCCGCCGTGCCACGGCGCAGCTGGCGGCAGCGTCGTGAGGCGGAGGTGGCGGCCGCCGCTTACGGCCTGGTTCAGTGGCAGACCAACATCTACTACGGGGCTGGTCGGGTGGTGGTGCCCGCCTTGGTGGACACCTTCACCATCCAGGCATTTGCGAAAAGGGTGAGCAGGGCGGGTAGGGGGCGGGTAGGGGGCGGGTAGGGTGCCTAGGTTTCGTATTTTTGCTGTGCCAGTGCGAGGCCGGTGGCAGCCTTACCCGCTGATCCTCCCTCCCCTCGTATTTCCCCAGTATTGGGCCGCAACGCCGTAAACCCGCCGTAAATCCTCCTCCCCCTCCCCGCTTGATGCTTTAAACGTCGGCAGTCGTCCCCTTGGGTTTTGTATCATATGATTTCCCCTCTACCTCCCCCTCCGTTACCCCCCTCCTCCCCCCCCCTCCTCCTTCCCCCGGTGGGGCCAGAACCTGCTGCTAGATGTGATGTCGGAGCTGTGTGGGGACGACGGAAGACCCCAGGGTACCCCCTTGCGCTTGCTGCCCGTGCCCCGGGAGCTGGCGGGTCGGCCGTATCGGGAGCTGTTCGAGGCCGTGGTGGCCCGTGGGTCGGTGCCGCTGGGGCTGTACCGCAGCAAGCCTGAGAACCCCGCCTGGCGGCTGCACTACGTGTCCACCAATCCGGCCTGGGAGGACGTCGTGTCGCGAGATGATCAGGTCTTTGTGTTGCGACCCGCGGAGGGGTGAGGGGGGGGCGCTTGAGGGGAGCGCGGGAGCGAAATGAAAGTGTGGGGGAGTGGGTTTTGGTTGACGGGGTGGCAGGTGGTGGGGAATGGACGGGAATGCAAGGGGGTGGAGGGGGATGCCGGGCAGTGTTCGACACCCCGTACGGGGCCCGTAAGTTTTTGGCCTTTTTTCGGTATCCCCGTACGGGTCCGTAGGACTTTGCGGTGGCTCCCGTAAAGATTTTGGGGCGCGAAGCGCCCCGTACGGGGCCGCCCCCGGACAGGCCGAAGGCCGGTTACGGTGACTCCCGTAAGGAATTTAAGGATTTATAAGATGCCTTACGGGGCCCTGTAGGGGAGAGGATGGACCATATAAAGGATAAGGCCCCACACTTGGCAGGCATAATTCATATTGCAATATGTAACTACACTTTTCATAATACTTTTATAGCTTCTGGTCTGTAACATCCAGCGATACGGAGAGGATGATAACGAGGAGGTTGCGACGGACCCAGAGATTGAAGTACTGGTACAAGCAACATATCCCGCTAGTGACGATGAGGCTTTTAGTGACAGTGACTACGAGACCGACGTAGAACGAGATACCGATGAGTCGTCCGTGGATGAGGATTTTGATGATGATGAGGAGGACGCGAAAGAGGAGCAGAAGGGATGGGCGGCCGCGGCGGCCAAGGCGCTTGGCTTTCGCTGAGTGTGCCGTGTCCCCGTGTGTAATGGTTCACGGGAAAATAACATGAATAACGATTTACAGGGCAAAAAAAATGCAAAGTGACACTTTCCACAGCGTTTTAGCCAAGGACAGTGTCCCCGTTTTGCGGGGTTAGGGGGGCCCCCGTAAGGTTTTCGGCCAGTACAGGAGCCTGGTACGGGGGCCCCTCCGTAAGAAAAATTTGGGAGGTTCGGGGGATCCCGCAAGTTTCGGGAAGGTCAGTGTCGAACCCTGATGCCGGGATGCTGAGGAGGGGTAGGAGTTTCGATTAAAGAAACCGACGCCTCCGCGGTGTGAAGGATGGGATCTGAACATATCCCCATACGTTGTTCGCTTTGTGGCTTTGGTGATACTGGTGATTGCGGCAAAGCCAAGCGAGGCGGTTCCAAGCCGCTGTGATGGCCCGTCTGAGATCTCCGAGTCGTGAGGGGCGTAGGAGAGAGAGAGAATCTCCTCTGGGCAATGTGACCTCACAACAGGGGGACTCTTTTTATGATTTTTGGATTTTTTCTTCTGAGGTGGACATTCCTTGATTATTGACGTTTACGAAGGGTGGCGGAGAGGGGGAGGAATGGCGCTCTTGGACCAGAATTTAGGGGCTTGCATAGTATATATCAGGCCCCGCAACAGTCCGTCTGAGATTTTTCCACTTAGGGTTTTTTGAGAGCCGCAGCAAGGAAGTTGAAGTGTCTCAAGCGTCGTTGTTTTGTGAGGCGATACAGCCTGAACCAGTGTTATGGTGGGAGGAAGATGGATTGAAAGGCAGTGGGAGTGTGGCGGGGTGAAGGAGGTATCCGCCAAAAGCGTTGTGAAGAATTGGATCGTTTACCCTGCGATGAACGTTTTTCGGCGTCCGATGCTGATGCGCCCTCAGACCTGCGTGCGAGTTGCGACACGATGTGCCTAGCCAAGGGAGCACGCGCCGAGCTGGATACCACCTTCCTTACACGGGGGATCCATGCATGGAAGACTCCTCGTCACTTCGTTCGGAACATTCCTGGCCACACACAAAATGACGTCCGTCTGGTAAACGCGGATGAGCCCAACAGTAAAGTAAAATTCCGCACAGCACACCACACCTCCGCCAGAGAGCCTGTGCTGCGTCGGCCCGGAGGGCTTCCAAAACAAACCCGGCCAAACAGCAGGAAGTGGATCCAATGACTCCCTCCATGAAGGATAAATGAAAGACGACCGCTGAACGTGGCAAAATCCAAACCCGAGGAAGGCAAACCAGCGAGAGCAATCTCGCCCAAACATGTGTCGTTGAGCCACACCACGACGTCGGTCGCACAGGGCTCGGTTCAAAACGAACCAGCTAAGCTTCAGCTCCCACGCTGCTGGTCATCGTGAACCAGCCTGCGACCTCACCCGCCGTCCCTGCGCCGCCTAAGCTCTCCCCTCCACGTCGCCATACTCATCCGCGCCTCGCTCACAGGACACGCTCGCAAAGCATTGGACCACAAGGGTATCGTACGGGAGACACGAGCATGTCAGCAGCCACACCGTGCAGAAGACGGGTGGTGCACCAAGTCCGTACCGTATAGTTTCTTTCAAGGAACGCAGCAGATGCAAGGGGCCCAGCCACAGCAAGCCTAGCCAGCTCCCACAACTGCACTGCTGTCACCGCACAGGAGCTGCAGGGTGCGGCCGTGGTGACATGTCCCCCAAGCATGGCCTGGACTCCGCCATAGACTCCGACTCTCACTTTGCGGCCGTGGCATCCCGCAGCTTCTTGCGCAGGCGCTTCTTCTGCGACTTGCTGAGACCGCCCTTGCCCTCATCACCCTCGTCGTCGCTCTCCGTCAACTGCACAGCCTGGACCTTGTGCGCCAGCGCGTGCGCCTGGGTGATCGCAGCTGCCTGAATCTTCTGAGCTGCTTGGTGGTGTGCGTGAGCAGCTGCAGCAGAGGACGCCGCCGCGGCGGCCCCGTGAGAGGGGGGATGGGCCGGAGCAGGGTGGTGCGGGGCCGGAACGTGGACACCGGGCCGTGGCGAGGGGTGCTGCAAGGCCGCGGAAGTCGGCCTCGGCGCGGCAGAGACGGGCCGCTGCAACTGGGGCTGCGGTGCCGGGGGACGTGCAGCCGGCTGCGGCTGCGGCGGGGGCGCAGCTGGCCGGGGCGTATACTGCGGCGGCGGCGCAGCCGGCCGGGGTGGAGGGGGCCCCTGGGGCGCCCGCTGCGGCGGCGGCACCTGTAAGCGCATATCGGCATTCTCAAAGACGGCTCACTCGATTATGTCACTCGATTATGCATGCACCCCTGCATACGCAGGATCCCACTTATGGGTGACCTTATGGTACATTCGCTTTGTTAAAGATATTGAAACCCCTGGCACTCTTGCTTTAGTCGACACTGTAATAGGGCCCCTTGCAGAAACACCCAGAGCCGGTCTTCATCATCATACTGCCCACCTGTGGAGCGGGGGGCCTCGCAGGTTGCTGGTTGTAGTGGCTCTGCTGCGGCGGCCTGTACTGCTGCGGCGGTGGACCCTGCGGGCGAGCGCTGTATGCCGGAGGGGGCTGCACCGCCTGCATCCATTCGCGAGGCATAGCACTGAAAATGCGGCATATTGCATCACAGTGCTAAAGCCGTGGGAGTCCGACGGGATTCCGAAAGCTCACGAACCCGAAACGGGGCCAGGGTGTGTCTTCAATAGAAACGGCAGCAAAGGGGCTCGTGCGCACAGTTGGCGGCGATACCTCTTACCGGTGCGGAGGGGCGGGGTGGTGCGCTCACTGGAGCCCGAACTGCGGCCACCTGCGGCTGCGGCTGCTGCGGTGGCTGTGACAACGGTGGTGGCTGCGACTGTGGCAGTGGCTGTGACTGCGGTGGCTGTGGCCCCGGCTGCACTTGGACCTGCTGCTGCGGCTGCGTTGCCCGGATGTAATCCTGGTACTCTGTCGGAAACTCCAGGTGCTACATGCAAGGGAATTGAACTCAAGCCACCTGCCTCGCCTGATTTCAGCGGGTCAGCTTGTGTGCAACCCTTACCGCAACCGTCGGTGGCTGGAAGACCACAGGCTTCTCAAAGGGCCGCTGTGGCGGGAACTGAATGTAGCCCGACCCCACGACGTTTGGATTCTGTGCTTGAAGCGAACCCGTATATTCAAGTTGGTATTCTTGACGTCAAGGTAAAGCATCTTTGTGTGTAGGTGAAACACAGGCTCCGCTTACCGTTATCGCCATGGTGAGGGAATCAATCCGATCCTGCTCTGTCCGGTACTGTTTTGCGGTCGCCATTTTTGCCTGTGCTCCTTTACTTAAGAGCAGCAGCTATTAACACCCTAATGCGCACCGATCACGCGGCCTTGCAAGTCCAGCTATCCCAAGGGAAAAGACCGCGAAGAGAGACACGAAGAACACTTTCTTCGTGCCTCTTTCGTGCACTGGGTAGCACAAATCACTTTGAAACTGTGTAGTTATATGAAGGCGCAATAAAGCGGCAACCCTTTTCATGCACCGGGGATTGCAGGACGAGATGCCCGCACGCATCCGTAATTTTTATAATCCTCGGCTCGAGCTGGTTTTATGTTACAGTTCGGGTTTCGGATCAAAGGATTGGACCCAAATGCTCAGCTGATATGCCCCAGTTTATGTACAGCTTCTAGAGAGCCGGTCCATGCCGCGACCTTCTGAATGACTTTGCGCCTTGGCAACCCGCTTTCATACAAGGACGGCGAATGGCGATGTGGACGCCAAGCCAGCTTTCTTGGATTTACACAGTAGTAACAAGCTCTAGTTTGCTCCTGCAGGCCCTCCGCCTTGCCGAACCCCACCTCACAGTATCCCTGCAACAACCAGAAACACGCGTTCTCACCTGCAGAATCCCAGCAACGGAACCCACCTTACGAAAGCCGTATGAAGCAACATGGGGGGATGATGGGTGCGTTCCATGCCTCGCTTCTGCGCTGTGTATTCCTGTGTACCACCTTCCCCACAACATGCGTCATGCTCCGTGCAAGATCTCACCCTCTCCACACGCACAAAGCGCACGCAGCCACGCAACAACCTATCACAAAAAACAACCAAAAAACAAGCACAGATGTTAAGCTGGGCCCACCCTCCTGGAGAATCCCCGCTTCCTTCGTAATGCTGGAGACCGGACTCCTGCCCAGGGGCACCAGCCACCCCGCCCTCGTCCCCACCTATCCACCTTTTTACCCATCCACGTGGCGCCCCTACGACCTACGACCACATTTGCCTAACCCCCCCGGCTGGTCGCGATTAAGCCAACCCCGCCGCTCACAAGCCGACGTCAGTTTCCCTTTCCCCTCCCCTCCCCTCAATGTCACCACATAGGTACCCCACATAGTTCCGGCCAGGGGTACGTACGACACGTACGGCATAGTACGACGCAGTGTGTGCCCAGGCGCCATATCCCCAATCCCCTGGCTTGCGCAGGCCCACGGCCATTCTTTCCGATCGGAACTCTATGAAGTACGGCACATCTGAAGACATCCTGAAACCCTGACCTGCCCGCGGAAAACCCTAAAACCTCTGAAACCCTAAGTCGACCGCCTTCCTAGCCGTAATGGCGTAACCGGGCACTCAGTGCGCTGTCGAGATGCGCTGCGAGGGAACGCATCAAGGACCTCCTTTTGCGTGATGAGGGACTCTAGGAGCCGGGAGTCCATACGATCGCCGCTGTCCACCAGCAGGGGCCTGTCAGCCCTGAAACAACCCGCTACCCCCCGCCCCCCTACTAACCCGCCTTCCTCCCTCCCGCCCTCCTCATGAATAGCTTCGTCTCATACACACACATATGTACGAGGCGTTAAGCGGGGTTAGCCCACCACCGGTGAGAACTATCGGTACGAGCCAGTCACGTATGTTCAGACAGACAGACAGACAGACAGACAGACAGACAGACAGACAAAGCGGGGCTTGTTTGATACAGCGGTGTTACCTTGAACGTCGCCTTCTTATCTTCACCTCCCCTCCCCTCCCCTCCCCTCCCCTCGCGATATCACAAGCTCGCTGTTCAGTTTTTCACCCCCCCCTTGGTTACCACTCCCCCCTACCAGTATCGGCCCTCCTGGTGCCCGTGGTGGCGCAATGCACCTCTCCCCCCCCCCAACACAAACCTCCACCACCGGCACCGGCACCTGCATGTAGAGCGGTGATGCCATAACAGTGACGTGCAACCATACACACACATTTATGCAGTACGACATAGTACACATAATACACACATACAGACCATTAAAAAGACACATACATACACACTGCGTCTTTAGATTAATGAGTGAAGTGAACAAATTCAACAAAATTTGTTTCGCAGCTTTCGGTTCGCAGACATACATACGTTCACACACAGAGTATGTTCTACTCTATTATTACTGGCCGCCGCTGCCGCCCGCCGGACACTGGAAATAGGCAACCCCACATCCGGACACGCACACACACATACAGACACACACACAGGGTTGTGCACTGATACGGAGAATATACATGAACTATCAATGTCAAGATGAAGCTTTGCCATATGTTCTCTCCCGCCCACATGTACCCTCTCGCCGGCCCCAGGCATCCGGGCATACCGCCCATGGAAGGAGTCCGAAGAGCACTGAAGGCGCCAAGCTAGTTCTGTCAATCAGCTCCATCACCATGGCCACCCAACCCAGCCCCCTAAACCCCCC